TAATAATATATATAGATTTGCATTAATATTCCTCCCTCAAACTTAATCCCAGTGGTACATATGTATTCAATTTTTCAATCCAAAATTCAATAAAGGTTGTCCTTTGCAAACCTTAAACTCTAAAACCTTAAACCTTAAACTCTAAACGCGCAAAGTGTAATGGGAGCATTATTTAAGCAGTTTAGAAAGCACACATAGAGCCCATTTCTTAGAGACATGGTAAATTATATGTGCCTGCGAAAACATTTCACTCACAAACAGCTGCAATATTCAACTACAAAGTTTGAAATCAGTACTCCCATTACGCTTTGCGCGCTTAGAGTTTAAGGTTTAAGGTTTAGAGTTTAAGGTTTGCAAAGGACAACCTTTTTTGAATTAGCTATATATATATATATATATATATATATATATATATATATATATATATATATATATATATATATATATATATATATATGGGGCGGTTCGTTCAAGTTAAAGGTTCCGTTGATGGCGAACCGCCCCATGTGTATATACAATATAACCTATATATATATATATATATATATATATATATATATATATATATATATATATATATATATATATATATATATATATATATATATATATATACTCAGGTAGATTAATGCATGGGTCAAGTTTCAGCCAAAGTCGAAATATGGCTATACCAAGTTGGGCGCGATTTTTAAAAAGAAAACAAGGTTAAGTTTAACATGTCATGGTTTAATGTTATAGATTTTGACCTGGTGAATTTTTTACTGATTTTTATTTTATTATTCGTTCTTCACATGAGCAGTTATATAGCCTAAAACGTCAATAAACACAGGTTAAATGGAAACCCATTGTGCGGACTCATAAAATCGCTTTCCTCAATTGCCATTTTGGTTTAATGTTGTACATAGCATCTTGTACTAAACGAATCTAACTTGCTTTGTTGTCTAGATGGCTAAACAAAGTAAATATTTTGCGTTTTATGTCAATTTATTCCGTAACTGTGCGTATTTATTTAAATATATTTTGAATATTCGTGTTAATGTAGGTATCTCAAGTTATGACTATCAAGTTTGTGTTGTGCTTTATCTATTTAGCATAAAATTATCGTTGCTTGTGTATTGTAACCTTGTCCGCAAAACGGGCGAAAGTCATAGTTTGTATCAAATATAGAAAGAAAGCTATCGCCATTAAGCCGTATTATTTACGACCAGCGGGAGTCCGCATTGTCGATTATAATTAGTTGCGCAAGACGCAAGTCAATACAAATGCAACAATTTCATGTTGTATTTCATATTATAAAGTTGTAGTTTCATATTTTATTGATATGAAATAATCAATTAGACGATGTTTGTGTACAATATAAACATGAAATCATGGGTATTCATCGCACTTGTATGGAGTTGCAGTAATTTTGAAAACGGGTGTAAGGAACATCGGCCAATAAATCTTCATTCCTTCTATGATTAACAAATAATCGCATAGTTCCTCGTAAAGGTTTATATGGGAAGCAGATCAATTGTTTGCCGGCGAAGGCAGAGGCAAATAATTGATCTGCGAGCCACCGACAAATCACTATCATTTTGCGAGAACTATTCACTTATAAAGCTTATTTTGTCATTCACTTATAAAGCTTTATTTTATCTTTCGTTTAATACAAGTTCGCCGCCGTCTGTCTTTCTTGCTTCTACATAAAACTTGTGAAGGACGTTGCATGGCAAGAGTTTCTTTTGAGCCAACTAGATCGTCTTCGTTGATCTTCGTTATCTTGCTTCTAAATACTGGCGAAAGACATTGACTTTTTTCTTCAAGTAATCAAGTTAGACAACTCATTCTCCGAAAGTTCTGCAAAGCGAGTCGCCATTGTTTACAAAAATTGAAGGCAATGCGCATGCTCAGACTATTATTTGTAGCTGAGAAACGTTTTTAACAAATGCGCATGCTCAGACTATTATTTGCACGCAGTTATTTGCAGGTAAATTAACCAATCAAAATTAAGAATACTATAAAGTGAATGATAATTATATTTTTACCTCGAAAGGGTGCTTTTACAATTATAAAGAAAGCAAACATAACATAATCATCTAAAAAATCCCGATTAACAGTTGAAGTCTGCATGAAGGCCATCGTATTTGAGAAAAAATAATTATGAATATCATAGTGTTGTTTACACGATTCCGAGTTTAGCAAGTCTGTACTGTTAAATTAAAATCACACACATGCAAAGTGGATGGCAGTTGAAAATTTAACTTATGGTGGTTTAATTATCAACATTGTGTAAAACCTTGAATGTTTTTAGGCTAAAAGATCCCTAAAAGTCTGTAAACATTATACCTAATTCGCGATTATTATCGCTAAAAGCGCGAATTAAGGTTAAGGTCGCGCGAGGAAAAAACCTCGCTAAATTATACCCTGGTCAAAAATTTGAACCATAAATTTCTCGATAAATACCTGTATCAACAACAAAAACATGTGCAGCTTATATCAGGGGCGGATTCAGACAGGTTTATATGAACCTGTCAGATTCTCCAAAAAAAGAAAATCTATAACCTTCCATGTAAATATATAACTAATTTAAAAAATATTCTGTTTCATAAACTTGATGTTGTCTAATCTATTACGCCATTTAAATACTCTTATTGAAATTTGATTCTGGATTACCGAACGTATTTAGACGCACTTACATAATAAGCATTTAATTAATTAAGGACTTATCGCGTTGGTTTCCTCGTACGAAATGTTGTATTACTAGACAAATAATCTGCTAATGTATCGTCGTGGATCGTGGACTGAAACATCGCATGAATCACACATAACCTCCCGCAATTATGAGTAAACCGGTGGTCAGAGTTTTCTCAATGAGAGTAAACCGGTCGATACGCCATTCGATTGGCTAAACGGCTGCGCTCCGCCGGATGTAAACCGGTCATAAACCTGTGAGTCGAGCAGTATTTAGAGAAAACTGGGAATGAAAGTTAACAGAACTCGAGGACGCTCGAAATAGCCTATGTTTATAATTTTGCGTGACTGAAAACTGCGTTGGCGATAGAAGCATTTACATGGATTTCTTGTTCATTTTGAAGGTTTGTATCGATGTTTATACGTGTAACTTCTATACAGTCTACACTCATGATAGCGCGAAATATGTGCATAATATTGCGTGACCGAATCATTGCGTTCGCGATAGAGAATCAGGAAATAATTGTAAAGCTTTCACGTTCTTGCAGTTTGGTTTCTATTTCATTGTTAAAGCGGTTGGTTTGAAAGCGTATAGATCTAAAATTACAACTATGTTTATATTAAAAAGCATCTCTACTTGTTGTACTTATAATAAATATCGATGCGTCAGCAATTTGCCAATCCTATATTTTTATCACCAGCTAATAAGTTTCCGAAAAGGTTCAATTCATTGTTTGAGCTGCGTATATTAGTTCAAAATTCTCTTAAAAACATGTATTTCCTAACCATTAAATTAATTTAAAAGGTGACGCCAGAACGCAGGAAATGCTGTTTCAGAGGCCCGAATTTTAAAAATTTCCCGGGGGTACATGCCCCCGGACCTCCCTAGTGGTTGTGTGGACCTAGTAAACCTGTCATCCAAAACGCTGAATCCGCCCCTGTATGTCATGTAAATAACAAATTATATAATGATTGTCTTAGTTTTTATGACTGTTAAACTTCAGTTTGCATTTGGCCTAATTGGCATACCAGCAATAAAGAGAGCAAAAGTGAAGAGCAAAAAATCTATAACTATCATTGGCTATACATATTCGTCTGAATCACTGTAAATTATATCCTTATGTTGAATTGTTTAGAAAGTAAAGTTGTAGTTTAGATTTTTATATAAAATAAAATGTTCAGAAAGCTTTCGCAAAATTTAATGCCCTTTTTCTATTTTCGCCTATCAAAATCGCAAAAATAAAATCTCTCGATCGATATATTGCCTGGAAAAATTGCGAAATTAAGTATGCACGAATACGGTATACATGTATTTTTGAAAATTAAATCTGACTTTCAATATCGGATTTTTTTATGAGATTGATATACAACAAAAAAATTATATTTCCGAGAAATACTATATTTGTTCAATAGCGTATGCATGCTATAGCTGGTGTTGTAAAATGATATTTTTTAACCATGCAACCGTTGTTTAGTGATACAATTACATTGAAACAAAACTTATGCATGGTTGCGGGGTATACCTTGATTTAATGGCCGGTATATATATATATATATATATATATATATATATATATATATATATATATATATATATATATATATATATATATATATATATATATATATATTGCACGTGACTGTATTATTTACAGAATAGCATAGTATAATACAGCATAGTATAATACAGTATATTATATTAATATGCATGTGGTAATGTTTGACTTACTACCTATAGCAGAAGAGTATCATTGATTGAAGAGAGAAAAATATAATTTGTGACACTATCAGAATGCATGATAGTATAATTATGTACCTGAATGCACCAGAATAGTCAGTTTGTAGAGGATATTTGTGATGGAAAGCAAATCCCCAGCGACATGGTTTGTTCAGGCAATAATTCATCTTAGCCTGCAAAGGTAACAATTTACAAATTAACGTCATCAAATGCTCACTGTTTCAAGATATACGGTAATATAACAATCATATATATAATGAAACAAGTTAGAAATAATTACGTGCAATATTGTATTTTGTGTCTTCATTTTCCTATACCATTCTCTATGGTGCTAATTAGTTATACTAAAATACTAAATAGCCGATTTGAAATTCTGTTTCTCTGAAAGACTTCTTAAACGTTAAACATTTTAATTTTTACCATAGATAATGAATGTTTCAACATGTTATGTAGTTGACAGCAAATATTTAAAAAAATATATAACGCATTGCTTCATAGCTAGTATAAAATTCGCATCAAATGTAAATTTGCTCTTCGTTGTCACAAATGATTTGGCACTATAAACGAAGGTAATTCAAAGGTAATTTAATTACAAATATTTCAGAACTAGCATTTCTTAAACAAAAATCCCTGCCAATTTTTTTATCGTGAAGGTTGGCATGCGTGGGATAGACCACGTCCCGCCACGTGTTTTTGACTTTCGTCCCGCGATTATCCCGCGCACTACTGCAGCGTCCTCCTCAAGTGCCATAAAGATAGCGTGTTATCTACTCTATGCGTTCGGTCATAATGGTAATCAGTCATAATGTTCTTAAACTAGGTTTCTGCGCATGAAAATTGTTACAAATAAGTTGCGAAATACATACCCAACCAAATTTTGTTTTTGCGTTATGAGCCATACCAAATTTTGAGCAGCGGAACTTGGTAGTTACGATGTTATCAGTCATCAAATCTTTAACAAATTGAACATCACCTATTCCCGGTGAGGTTTTTCCACATCCTCCTTTATTTATAATCATCAGATTCTTGAGTGCTCTTGGTTTACGCAGTCTATAATACCTTAAAATTACATGCGAGGAACATGGCGTATGAGAAATGGGGATATTAAATTTAAATATCCCATACCAATGAATACATTAATTAATTTAATTTGTGAGTGAAGATTTTGATTTTGATTTTGATTTTGGCCGCGCAACTATACCTATACAAAACCTGAACATGACGGTAACAATCTTTATTAAATTAACATTGAAATTAGTTAGTTAGTTAGTAAGTAAGTAAGTAAGTAAGTAAGTAAGTAAGTAAGTAAGTAAGTAAGTAAGTAAGTAAGTAAGTAAGTAAGTAAGTAAGTAAGTAAGTAAGTAAGTAAGTAAGTAAGTAAGTTAGTTAGTTAGTTAGTTAGTTAGTTAGTTAGTTAGTTAGTTAGTTAGTTAGTTAGTTAGTTAGTTAGTTAGTTAGTTAGTTAGTTAGTTAGTTAGTTAGTTAGTTAAAATATAGTCTCAAACAATTTAGAATGGCACTACTCTCATACTGTTAAAAGACATAAGGGCTACTCACCAATGTGCCTTTGTTGCTTTAAAATTTTCCTGAGTTGCTACTTGAACTCTAAAGTCAATTATCGGTGTGTTACCCAGGGAACTTGTCCAATGAGGGTCGCCAAATGGTTCCACAGGCTTGTTGTTGGATGGAACAGTCCAGGTAACAGATGTATTCTTACGACCAACCAGTATAAATCCCCCTCCATCAGTTGTCATATCGCAAAACACCTTTAAAGAAAGTATAAAACAAATTTGTAATATTATCGTCAAGACCATCAAATCATCATTACCACCTTCATGATCCAATTCATTATCACCATGATCACGATCATTATCGTAAATCATGATCAAACCATCTTAATGACTAACATCAGCATGATCACTATCATCTTCATTATCATCATCATATTAATTATAACTATTATTATTATCATAATCATGATCACCATTATAATCACCATCATAATGATCATCATTACAAACACACCACCATACCCACTGTTATAGACGGAGTGTAATTTTCATTAACCATGAGGTTTTCATATATTTATTTAGTACAACTCAACAGTTTTTACAGAAAAACTCTGTTTCTCAAAACGTTTTGTGTTCGTTCTGTCCTCTGACCTCTCTATTTTCAATGTTACTGGACAAAAGTCTATTACCATAATAAATTAACATGAACTATATAATAAACTGGACAAAGTCCAAAACACCCCCGCCCGTGACGTGAACGGGGGAACGTTACTCATCATTAAAAGCTTCCAGTAATGCTAACCGTCCTACAGGACGTGTCAATGTTCCAGTTTTCGTTGCAATCTCCGCGGATCTGATCAGTCCGTCTTCACTTGCGATCGGTGCAATCACTCTTCCGAGCCTCCAATGCGAACGAGGTACGTCCTTCTCAACGATCAAGACAAGATCACCGCGACGTAGATTTCTGTGTGCAACATTCCATTTGCTTCGCTTTATTAACTGCGGAATGTACTCATTCGACCATCGGCGCCAGAATTGGTTCGCTAAGAACTGGCTATGACGCCATCTTCGACGTAACGACATATCTCGTTGGTTAAACTCGCCGGGCGACACGTTCGAACTCGCACGACCATGCAAGAAGTGGTTTGGTGTAATCACGCTGAGATCTGTTGGCGAATCACTGCTTCCACCATAGACAAGCGGACGAGAGTTCAGCATCGCTTCTACCTCGGCAATGACAGTAAGGAAAACTTCATCGACTGTGAGAACATTCCCAAGCATAACTTTCAATGCCCGTTTGACAGACTTTACTAACGCTTCCCAGGCACCTCCAAACCATGGGGCAGCAGGCGGGTTAAAGATCCAACATAACATAACATAACATAACATAACATCAACTTTATTTAAACACGGAAAATCATCAGTATAGTTATTTACAAAAATATTAAAATATTTTAAAAGGAGCAAAAAGAAATATAGATACTGTTCTACCTGATTGCCGTGTGGGAGTCAGATCGATTATTTATTAAGAAGGCTTCTAAACCTGTCTTAAATGCAGCGAGAGAGGTTACTGATCTAAGAGATTCTGGCAGGCCATTCCATAAAGAGGCTCCACTGTAACTGAAGGAGCGTTTCAAATAATCTGTGCGTGGTTTTGGGACATAAAGTTTACCATAAGAATCTCTCAGGTTATAAACACTCTCACTGGGAGAAAACATCTCTTGTAAATAGAATGGTGTATGTTTATTAATAGTATTAAACATGAGGATTGCCTTTTGCTTTAATCGCTTAGTGGACAATGATTCCCAATTAAGTTCTTCAAGAAGAGAACTTGATGAAATATCATAAGATGAACGGGTAATAACACGGGCGGCCCTATTCTGTAATTTTTGTAATTTTTCGCTTTGCTTTTTACCTAGGCCATCCCAAACAGGGGCACAATAGGAAAAATAGGGCTCCACCAAACTTTGGTAAACTCGAATTGCAGTTTCTGTGGTAATAAAATCTCTCATTCGTTTGAGAGCACCGATACCCGAAGAGACTTTTTTGGTGATATTATCAACATGATATTTCCAAGTCAAGTTCTCATCAATTGTTAAACCTAATGACTTAGACTTCAGCACTCTATTAATCTGTTTATTGTTAACACATACTTCCACATTCTGATTATCAAAGGTTGAAAGTCTTTGACGAGATCCAATAATCATAAATTCAGTCTTGGCAATATTTAAACTTAACTTATTTGCCTCTAGCCATGTGTTTAAATTGGCTATTTCAGCATTCAAAAGATTTTCTAGCTCAGAAAGATTATTACTTTGCATGCTGATGTTCGTATCATCAGCATACATTCTAGGTAAACCCTCGTTCAAGCAGTTAGGCAAGTCATTGATATAGATCAAAAACAGAAGTGGGCCTATAATAGAGCCTTGCGGAACTCCATGGGAGATAGAACGACTACCAGAGAGGTTGCCATTTACGTAGCATTTCTGTTTTCGATTGTTTAAATAGGAATTAAACCACGATAGCGCATTGTCATCCACACCATAACACTTGAGTTTACGTATAAGAATTTCGTGATCAATTGTATCGAAAGCTTTCTTTAGGTCAATGAAGATCACTCCGTTAAGCAAACCCTTATCAATATTTACGCACCAGTTATTACTCGACTCTAATAAAGCTGTAACGGTACTATATGATGCTCGAAACCCTGACTGATAGTTAGACAGTAAGTTGTTACTTGTCAGATAGGAGTAAAATTGGTCATAAACGGTTCTACCAAAAACTTTGGCAACCGCCGATATAATTGAAATTGGACGATAATTACTTAGATCACATTTGTCGCCATTTTTGAATAACGGTAAGACTTTTTCCATTTTCCAATCAGTCGGATAAATCCCCATAAAAAGCGATCTATTAAAAATTCTGGTTAACGAGGGGGAAAGAATATCAGTGGCTATTTTCAATAATCTACCTGGGATTTTATCAGGGCCGGTCGCTTTGTTAGCATTAATCGTTTTTAGCAAACAATTTACAGTGGACAAACCAATTTCCTCGAAAGAAAAAACACTATGTGTGGATTGAATATAAGAAACGGGATTAACATTCGAGCTAGGTATTTTGTTCGCTAGTTTCTCTCCTATCGAGGTGAAATATGAATTAAAGGCATCCGAAATTTCAGCCGCATTAGTGATTTCATTACCGTCAAGATTGACTTTCTTGACACTGGTTACATCACTCACTTTACGACAGTTCAGATCGTTGACTAGTCTCCAAGTTTTCCTTGGATCTTTTCGTGCAGCCTCAATATTAGTGATAAAGTAGTTATGTTTAGCCTGCCTAATAGTGTTGTTAGTTTCATTTCGAGCTTTCTTATATTGTAACCAAATTTCATCGTCACGAGTAATATCGAATTGCCTTTTTAGATAATCTCTTTCGCGAATTTTCTGAACTACATGTGAAGTAATCCAGGGAGACTTTCGTTTCCCTATACGTTTCTTTTTAAGTGGGGCATGTTTATCAATCACAGACATAAACAAATTCAACCATTCAGTCCACATATCATTAGGGTCGTTATGCAGACAAACCTGCTCCCAATTTAGATTATTTAAATCGTTCAAATATGCATGTTCATTGAAGTTTCTG